CTTCCCCAGAGTCCTGAGGCTTTCCTCGGGCCTCTGGGAGGGCAAAAACAGCCTCCCCCCAGGGTCCGGAGGCCTTCCAGAAGCTGGAAACAGGCCCGATTCCAGACTTCCGGGAGGGCCATTTTTCGCAGAGCCTCCATGCAGACCCTGAATCTACCTGCATCCAAAATGGGCCACATGGAGACTCTTGAGATGGGAGTAGTAAACTATAAATAACTATAAACCATAGCAGTGGTTACCTCTGGTGGGCTGTGAGAAAATTTTGGTGGGCGGCAGAGAAATCTCACTCCCAGAGCACCCCCCAAAGCAATTAATCCAGGCTGCGCATCCCCGCCCACTCACTCCTTACCGGGCAAACTTGCCTGCTAAGTTGCTATTTTTCCTTCTTCCAACCATCAGGTGTTCTGCTGTGCCAGGAGATTTAGATTAGCTAGGAAACAGGAAATGGTTGGATTCCTTGCTTTCAAGCTAGTCTTTAGATCTTCGCCTTTGCTTTTAAGTGCAGCCGAACCTCCCTTAGGACTGAAGGTTCTATTATTCAGTGCAGACTCATGGCAAGCAAATTTGAGAGACTGAGCTAGCTGATGGCAGATAGATAGATCACCGAATGATTCTGTGAGCAACTCAATCTGCCTGCCTGCTTTGCCTGATTTTGGGTAAAAGTTCCTCTTTTTTATAAAAAAAAATCAATATTTATATATTTATAATATTTACATACAAGCCATGCCCAGCCAGTCACATGACCACCAAGCCACACCCACAAATTAGGCCATGCCCATAGAACCGGTTAGTGGTCCCTGGGATTTAAAATTATGAGTTTGGTGGTCCCTGAGGTCCAAAAGGTTGGAGACCCCTGGTTTATAGTTTTATAGTTGCTCATTTCATAATCTTTTTTTTAATGTTGGTTGAACAATAAAACAAAAACATTTCTCCATTCTACAAAATCATCAAAAGACCAGAACAAACTTGGGGAATTAAGTAGAAAGGTTTTAAGGCAGTGAAATTGTAGCCCATGTATTCTGGCCTGTAAATGTTTAGAACTATACATAGGTTTCATTTTACATGGGTATCAATATATAAATTACTCACAGTCAATGGAAGGAAGCCAATTTCACTGCACCTAGTTGTTCACTGAAGTTCCAACGAAGAGAGACAAAATAGCAGCTTCTTGTAGCATCTAAGGATCCTTCAGAAACTTCACAAATCCAGCAAAACAGGTAGGTTGTCACACCACACAGAACAAAAGCTGGTTTAGGCATTGCTGCAATACCCACACACTGAGGACTTGTTGCAAACAACCCAACCCCAATGAGGAAAAAAAATTCCTTTGCAATTACGCCTTGAATCCAGAGTAGGAGTCCGAAAAGACTCAGTTCAACTGAGCACGTCTATTTTGAACGTGTTGAAGAACTTCACTTGATGCTTGCTGGTTGGACAGTTAGTTATTCAGCAGAGGGGAGAGAAAATCACACACCCCCATGCTATATTTTACCACATCTCACAGTGCTTCAAAAGCTAAGTAGCCGTGGCTCAAGGTTGACTCAGTCTTTCGTCCTTCCGAGGTGAGTAAAATGAAGACCCAGATTGTTGGGGGCAAAATGCTTGGCAACTAGCATGTACTTATGACAGTTGCAGTCTCCCAGGGTCGTGTGACTACCATCTGCAATCCTCTGACGAGCCAAGTCAACAGGGAAGCTAAATTCACTTAAATTATCTTAATAACTACAGTGATTCCCTTAATGACTGTGGTAACGGGTTCATATTTATGACAGTTGCAGTGATCCCCTTTTGCGACCACCTGGCAAGCAAAACAACGAGGAAGCCAGATTCACTGAACACCCGTCTTGCTAACATAACAACTGTGGAGTTCTGCTTCCCAACGGTGGCAAATTAGGACAAAACTCATTTAACAACTGTCTCATTTAGTAACCAAAATTTGGGGCTTGGTAGTGGACAGAACATTGCCTCTCTTGTTCCAATATTTGAGGGGCTGCCACAGAGAGGAGGGGCGCGTGACAAACTGTATGTATTTTTCCAAGGCACCCGAAGGCCAGACAAGGAATAATGGATGGAAACCGATCAAGGAGAGATTCAACCTGGAAATAAGGAGGAATTTTCTGACAGGGAGAACAATCCATCCATGGAACAGACGTTGCCTTCAGAAGTTGTGGGAGCTTCACCACCAGCAATGGGATCCTACCTATTCCGCTATTGGTTTGGTGATCGCACATGCGCACATGCACACCTAATGTGCCACCCACAGCTTTCCCCACACCAGCTGAGGCCTGCAGCACCAATCAGCGGAGAGGATAAAGAAAAGCACAGGGGCTGGTCAGAGGGCAAATCCTGCTCTTTTCTTTCTCCTCTCAGCTGATCAGCGGAGTCTTTTTTTTTTTTTTTACTACCGGATCAGTCAAACCAGTCCAAACCAGTAGCATACCACAACTGTTCATCACTGGAGGCTTCCCAGAAGAGACTGGACTGCCATCTGTCAGAAATGGTGCAGGGTCTCCTGCTTGGGTGGGGGGGTTGGACTAGACGACCTACAAGGTCCCTTCCAACTCTGTTAATCTGTTATCAAAATGGGGTGTGTGTGTGTGTGGAGAAACTTGAGCGAAGCTCAAGAGGCGATAAGGAAGCAGATGTATTTGCGGGGAGGGGAAAAGAGTTTCCGACGTGACTCAAAAAATAAATGACAGGCAAGCCAGGAGGTTGGAAGTAAATATGAATGTTTTAATGCACAGAACAACCTGTCAGGATACTGGTAATGACAATCACCCAATTTTTCTTTCTTTCTTTCTTTCTTTCTTTGACACCTGATGTATGTTTGATACCTGCCACTGTTCTCGTAATGGCCCGCTAGCAAAGTTCTTTCTCCAGTTTGCCGTGAACTGCTCAGTGGCTACTCCAAGGATGCTTTGGGCCCTTCCCAAAACGTAGGTCCTTCTGACTCCCTGCCTAAAATTCTCAGGGTACCCAACCTTCAGTCCCTCGGAGCCAAAAAAAAAATGTTAAGGTGAGTCAGCAACTGTGTCCTTCTCAAATACAGCTGAAAACGGCTACTTTTCACCACTTGTGAAACCACCCCACACCAGCTGAGCTGTCTCTCCATCTCTGCTCAATTTTGGAGCCCGGGACTAGGGAATTTAGTTGGGAGAAAAATGCCGGAAAAGGAAGTTGCCTTTTTTTATTATTTTATTTTATTTTTTTTCCCCTCCCCTTAGATGGAGCAAAACAGTGGACTTCCTTCTTAAATAATAATTGTTATTTTTTTAAAGAGAGAGAGAGAGAGAGAGAGAAAGAGAGAGAGAACATAAGCAAAGGGGAGGAGGAGGGAGGGATCTGGCTGGCCCCACGGTTGGCTGCGGTTTTGTCGAGCTGATCTCCATCCATCGAATGGTAGGTTGCCACATGTCCTTGCTTGAGCCGGAGAGGAGGGGAGTGCCTTTGCCCCGTCGTGCCTCGGTTGGCCGGCCCGTTGTTTTTGTTTCATCGTCCCTTGGAGTCACCGTACATGTTCCGCAGCAGAGAGATCATCTTCTCTTCGCAGGTGATTTTGGTGTCCTTCAGGACATTGTACCAAACCATGCCCTGGGAGCGCTCCTCCTCGCTGCGACAGAACAAGTAGGGCATGGTGTCAGTCCGGCTCTGGATGTAGGCGCTGCGTAGCAAACTGGAACAGTGCTTACTGACTTTCTCCAGCCGCCGTAAGATGAGGTGCGCTTTTCTAGAAGGGGAAAGAGGGGTGGTGGAGAAAAACCAGCTTTGAGGCTCCAAGGAAGGCAAAGAAGAAGAGGAAGAAGAAGCTGGGAAGAGAAACTGCCATTTTAAGTCACTGTTACAGTGTGGGAGAAGCCGATTGGTCCATGGGAGCAAAATGATCAAACTCAAAGGGAGGGAAGTTTGTGGAGAGAAGGAAGAGGAGGAGGAGGAGGAGGAGGAGGAGGAGGAGGAGGAGGAGGAGGAAGAAGAAGAAGAAGATACCAATGGGGGATATTAAGACGTTTAAGGTCCTGTAGATTAAAACACATGAAGAATTGTTGTAGGAACTGGGTATGTCTAATCTAGAAAAAAAAGAAGGACTAGGGGTGACATGATACCAGTCTTCCAATCTTTGAGGGGCTGCCACAGAGAAGGGGGGGTCAATGTATTTTCCAACGCACCAGAAGGCAAGACAAAAAATAATGGAAGGAAACTAACCAAGGAGAGACGCAACGTGGAATTAAGGAGAAATTTCCCGACGGTGAAAGCAATTAACCAATGAAATAACTTGCCTCCAGAGGTTGCAGCTGCTCCGTCACTGGAGGCCTTTAAGAAGAGACTGGACAGCCGTTTGTCTGAAATATTATAGGGTTTCCTGCTTGAGCAGGGGGCTGGACTAGAAGACCTCCAAGGTCCCTTCCAACGCTAATATTCTATTATTCTGCTAGTTGGGTGAAAATACAGTAGAATTAAAATGAGTTGGAAGTCGTGGCCTTTGAATTCTTCTGTCCAACTGGATTTCAACACAACCGGATGTATTTTTGAACGATGAGCCATCTCACCCGACATAGCTCTTTGAACCAGCCTGTTTCCCCCGCTCCCTCTAGAAATGCTGGGTGTGGCACATGGGAACTAGGCCTCAGCCAGCTGGCTGGGAGAAGCCGCAGCAAAATTAGCCTCTTACAAGTGAGAATAAATCTGTAGGGAAGGTATAGGCCGGGGGGGGGGGGAACACAACTTTCCTAACGACAAATCCCCTTTCGGCTCAAAACAGACGGTGGCGAGATATTTAGCCCAAGCTGCCGAAGTGAGTCAGTTATGTGAAAAGGTTAATGAAGTCATGTCTAAAGGGTAGACTTATCTTTGGCTGACATTTTTCCCTGAGGAAAGGGGGGAAACAGGGGAGGAAAGGCTGGGAAGAGGAAGCTTTGGGGGGCGGGGGGAAATAGGGGAGAGGGCAGGGCAGAAGATAAATCCAAAGGGTGGCCAGTTGGATGTCATAAATTAGCAGCTGTGTCCTTTCCAAGGTCTCCCTATGGAGGAGGTTCAAATCTGGAGATGAAATTGGCCAGGACTACTGACCCTGACCTTACTCCTAACCCGCTCCGCTCCAGAAAATGGGAAAATTTGGAAAAAGGACTGACGGTTAATGAAGTTGTTAAAAAAAAAAAAAAAACGGCAGGTCGGTGGAAAGAAGGTCATAAGAGGGAGTTACCCAGCCAGCCAACTCCTAACCGCTTCCTCCCACGCAAGGCCGCCTCTCTTCCACCTTGTCAGTTGGGAGGCGACCAGCCTATGTGGTGATTGGAGGGAGAGTTGGACTCCAGGCTCTAGGGCTCCCAGTTTGCGAGGGATAGATAAACCCACCCGTGGATCAAGTCACGATCCAGTCCCTCACATTGCCCGAGTCGAAGCCAAATGAATAAAATTTAGAATTAGGTAGGTAGCCGGTGGCGAGAACGGACTTTGCAAGGGTTGGTACCCAGCCGAAGAAGTGACCCAAAGGGGCTTTTTTTTCCCCAAGACGCAACTGGGGTTTCTTGGTTTTCTTTGAAGACATTTTGCTTCTCGTCAGTTAGTTAGTTCTAACTAACTAACTAACTCTCATCCAATAAGCTTCTTCAGTTAGTTAGTTAGTTAGTTAGTTCTAACTAACTAGCTGAGGAAGCTTCTTGGATGAGAAGTGAAACATTTTCAAGGAAAAAACAAACAAGAAAGTCCAGTTGCCTTTTGGGAAAAAGAACTTTTGGGGCAAAAGAGGGACTTGATCTCTCAGAACTGTAAAAACAAATTACAACATATCACAAGGAGGAGGAGGAGGAGGAGGAGGAGGAGGAGGAGGAGGAGGAGGAGGAGGAGGAGGA